ACTCCACCACTGCCCTTCACCTCCCTGCATTAGTGTGAAATGTGTATACTGCCTGAGCAGCCAGCCCTCATTTTTGGATTTTTTGCCTGTCATTTTGGACACTTTTTTTATTGCCCTTTGCTTCTTCACCTTCAGCTGCTGATAAACCCTGTTTTAAACTACTGACACAAACTTGTTTTAATTCATTGTGATTGTCCCTTATCTGAAAAGCCGAGCTTTTAAATTTTCATTCATAAAGTATGATGAATGTTTTTGCTTCTGTTTAGGCAACTTAGAACACTTGGTTAAGGTCAGAAGAAGACATCAATTTAGTGTTGCTGTTGTGAGCATGTTAGCACGCCGATGTTTGCTGTAGCTTAAGCAGCCTCACAGAGCCGCCAGCATAGCTCTAGATATTTTTGTTTAGGAGACAAGGTTGCATATAATTACACTCAAATGATCATAGAACATACAAAAACCATCAACATATTGATGGAGCACCTGTCGTACTGAGGCCTCAGTGTTGCATGCTATAGAGTGTAGCATTCTGTTCTGTTATGCTATGCTACTGTAAGGGCCTCTGAACACACTCATTTGTTTAAAAAAATGACACATCCTCCTTCTGGGGTGCGTACACAACTTCTGACTGTTGAGATTTCACTCCAGTCGTCTCTCCACCTCAGCCCCGTCCCGTTTTCTCCGTCCTGCTGGGGGACGGTCGGCTGCCGGAATGCGAGGCGAGAGCTGGGCCCGTCCCAACCGTCCCAAATGACTGCACACACAAAAAAGGATTTAACTCTTTGTCACAATTGTCCCCTCACACTCTGGCCTGCAAGAAGGAACAGCACAAGACTCCCTAAACCAACCACCCCCCTCCCCTCAACACCCTCAACCCTGACCCACCCCCTCATTGTATACATCCCCCCTCCTCTCCTGCCCCTACCTTTCTCCTGACCCCGGCCGCGTGCATAAAAGACCCATCAGAAGTATCGCTGGCCACATTTACAAGTGAAAGAGGCCCAATAATGGAGCGGTTAGGGAGAAGAATGAGGAGACAGAGGGGCACTCACAGATGTGGAGGTGGGTGGGGAGGGCATGGGGGAGGAAGGAGCAGCGTCCCATTGTTGCCCTGCACCCCCGATGGAGGGGAGGAAGAAGCGAGGGCTGGGAAGGGGTGAGGAGGTAAAGTAGGAGGTGAAAGTGTTTTTTTACACCCGATTTGTGATGGGGGAGGAGAGGGGAGGAAACAGGGAGAGAGAAGGGGAAGGAAGAGGAAAAGAGAGATGAAGAAAAATGTGTGTGTGTGTGGGGGACTGGAAGAAGAAGAAGAAGGGAAGGAAAGAAGAAAATAGACCAGCTGGACCCCGGCTCCTCCTTCCTGAATATCTTCCCCTCGTCTCTCCCACCCTTTCAAGTATCCTCTCTCGCTCGCTCCGCAATAGTCAAAAAGAAGAGTCCAGCTTGTTCTGGCAGGGAGCATGTGAAAATGCCAGGCTGCAGAGGTCATAAGAGTTGTGTGTGTGTGAGTATGTGTGTGTGTGTGGTGGTCATCGGGGCATTATTATGTTATGTGTGTGTCTCAATTGTCCAGAAGGATGGAGAATGCGATACAGCAGCTGGGGTGAAAGAGGCTCTAAGCTGACCTTCGAACCCCTCTTCTTCCCTCCACACGGCTTGTGTGGTGGTGGGTGGGTTGGAGGGTGGGGGGTTAATTAAGTCATCACGGCAGGATCAGGCCAAGATGTGGCATATATAGGAGGCGACAGGGTGTCGTCAGGACGGGGAGATGTTTCCAAAATGTTGCGAGGTTGGTCACATGCAGCAGGTAGCAAGTCAAAATTTGGACGCCAACAAAGAAACAGAGTTGGCTGAGAAAACTGAGTCAAAGCAGCTGGTGAAGTTTGGCAGTGACTTTAAAGGTGTCTGTTGATGCTGAGCGACAAGCTTTAATTTTAAAGGAGCAAACCAGTGTGTTTGGGAGGGGAGCTTTTTTTTTGCCTTTATTAAACACAGCAACCAGAGAAGGGATGATGAGCCGCACAGGTCCATGAAAGGGCATGAACCTGTGATGCTGCAATTACATGGTCAGCATCTTAAACCTCTAAGCCAACAAAACGTCCCAAACCAGTGCATGTTGAAGTTTTTTTCTACAAATACTGTATACCGAAGATTTAATTTATATAAACCTACAGTGATGTGGTGTTTGTGAACGACTAAGTGGATGATGGGAGCCAGCTCCCGTCTGAGAGACAATTTATTTTTTGAATAATAATAAAAAGACATAATAATAGGATGATCCAGTATTTGTTAAATATGACCCAGAAACATGTCACTTTGGTAATAATATTAAGACCCAAGCATGGTGAGACTTGTGTGTGTTGCGCCAGTCAGCAACATACAAAACATAGGTCAGTGTAAATAAAACGCACAATACACGTGTTAGATGTTTTTACCATATTTAAGGTTTTTATACCAAACATGAAATTATGGTATTCTGGACATTATAATAGTTTGGATTAATTACATTGATAATTAAGATATATATGTGCACACATACCAGTCATAGGTCAAAACATTGCTAAATTTGGATGAATTATAAAAGCCAGAAGTGGTGAGTCGGAATTCCCATCACGAAAAACTCCACTTCCTAGATTTTTCCAGACCCTAATCAGCAAGTAGACACTAACAAAACTTAACTTATGTAAATACAATGCAACGTATTATATGAAGGTAACATATTGCATTCAACACTTTTGTGTAATGTAACATAAGAGTATAAAGTAACTTAGTGTAATGTAATTTTTTTACACTTACTCTACACTCAATGTAAGATAAAGTAACATTGTGCACTGTAACATTACAATACATTCATGTGGCGGATGAGTTGTGCAACGTAAGTATAAAATAAAACAAACTAACAATGTAAATTATGTGGCAGCTGATTTTGTGTAATGCAACGTAGCATAACTTAAGATAGAACTATGCAACATAACATTTATGTGGCAGATGCAGTTCATCAATGTGCTCTTGCCCTGTCTGTCCAGGCTCAGTCACCTGAATCACATGATAGAGAGGTCATATATGGATTCATATAAAGAACAACTGGGTAAACACAATTTGCCGAAGAAGATCAAAAGATGCTGTTGAGAGTTCCAGAAAACACTTTTAAGATTTTGCCTTTGTCGCACTAATGTTAAGAATTAACTTTGAAGCTCTGTGTCTATTTTTTCAAAGCTGGCTTTGATGTTTCTAACCTTTGAGGAAACTGTTTAGCAGGTTCGGCAGGTTCCATCACAGCAAGTGCATCAAATCTGTCCCTGTCTGAGACTGAGACTTTAGGTTGCCCAGAGGATGTGGGTTTGGACCCGTGAAGATGCTTAAAGGTATATTTTGAATCTTGCACAAAACGACATTTCTCTGTCAGAATGAACAGACACAACTATAATTCTTTTGTGACTCTGGAGACAGTGTTTTTAACTTATTGTGTTCAGCTCTTCATTTATATCCAAGTTAACAATAATCATGTATTTATTTATTCAACCAGATCAATCATTGGTGACAAGGAATGAATCAGAAAATTCATTAAATAGGAAAAGAAGCAATTTTTTAAACTCTGATATCATCTTTCTCCTGTGTGGACCACTTGAAATGTCCTCACAACCCAAAATGTTCCCACAGACCAAGTGGACTTCACACACGTCCACATACACACACACACACACAGAATACTAAAGACCTCTGACACCTGTTCATTTCCGATGGAGAAACTATTAATTTCCTGCTGAAGCAGATAGCAGAGCTACTGTCAGGGAGATCACATCTCCTCTGCTTCCTGTTCAGAGCTCAGAGAAGGTGACAAACAGCAGCTCCACTCAGTCTCCATCAGTGACAGGTGGAGAAAAACAACATGTATAAATACTTCAGCAGTTTTCAGGAATCAATGTCCCCTTTAAGTTCTGATAAAATGCCTGTAGAAGAGATCTGAGATACTGGATATTTATGACAGGATTGGTTTTGATCAGGTTTTTTTTTTTTTTTACCTTGAATCTGATTTGTGTATATTCCACCTTTTCTTAAATCGACGGCCACTGGTTTTTGGCCATTAGTGACGCTATCGAGCAGAGATTCCCAAGCCCTGGGGTACCTGGCCTCAGAACACTGGGCACTGGGAAACAATATGATGGGGGGAAAAAAGAGCAATACTATGTAACTTTATAAGCTATTATAGGATATTGTTATTTTTTTACCTTAAACTGTCTGCGTTGCACTTCTACTCATTACTTTCTGTCACACCTCCAACATTTATGCAAAGTGTAATTCGGAGCCTCCAGCAGTACATGGAAGCTGAGGCCACTACCTGGATGTTGGTGAGAGGTCTGTCTGTATTACCTTTAATTTTAGTCAGAAATCACAATAAAATACTGACCCCAATTTAGCTAGTTAGCAATGAAAAAATAGTTCACAGTGTAAAAAAGACTGGTAAACCCTGCTTATATAACACTGATACCTTACCTCAAACATTACATTATTGTGGAACATGAGTGAAGTGTGGAATGTAAAAAGATGGCAATAGAAATCAATCAATACTGTAGTGTTATTTTCAAATCTTATTTTTCTTAACACGTCTTTTTTCATGGAACACTTCACTTAACTGTTAACTCTGAAGCTTTTCCCAACAGCTTCATAAAATGAGATTCAAAGTAATCAGTTATTATGTCAATGCAAGCTTTCTTTAAGGGTTTAATTTAGCTCCTTGGTAGAGACCTACATATAAAGACGATATTCCCCAGTTGTGTCACTTACACTCTGTGACACACATTCAGTGCTGCGAACGATGCAGAATATCCAGTGTTTGTCCAGTATTGCTTATTAAATGGCAAAAGTGACTTTCTGTAGGCTTCAATTGTGAAAATGTTGTGAAAATGCAAAATGAGTGTGTAGTTTTACGATATAGACGGAAACATGTTATAGTCTATTTAGTGCATTCTTCTTGAAGGGTCTGAAAGAGAACAGAACAACAGTTTAATTTGCTATTGGAATTTTTATTTTTTCATCACTGTAGTACCAGAAGTTGCATTTGGCTTTAGTGTAAGCAACACCAGACACTTCAGAGGCTGAAACTGGAAACTTAGTGGTCAGGTAACCTATGGAAGAGGCCAGAAGTGTTCAAAAAGAAAAATAACTTCTGATAATGACTGCTGTAGCTTGAAGGGGAGATTATATCTTTTATTATTACAGGGTAAGAAGTCTGCCACTAATACTCTCACTGCCTGGCCTCTGAACACAGTTAAAACTACATGCCAAAAACAAGCGTTATTTGCATGGTGTCTGGTGGAAGTTTACAGGCTACCTTCTCTGTGTACTGGAAGGAGGGAAATTAAACTAAAAACTGATGGTTTCATTTAGAAAATGTTGACACCGCTGACTGAACAATATATAAGGCCTGTATATCTCAGACTGTCTGCACTGTGTGTCAATATTCATCTGTTTCTATGTCCATGTGTCTTTGCTCCAATACTGCACAGTGCTGCACTTGTCAATTCAATTAAGCATCATTTTCATTGCATTTTAATTGTCTGACTCTGCTGCAGCCGTCATTTGATACAACAAATTATTAATGGTTTACAATCATTAATTAGTCCTAAACAATTCAAACTCATGGCAACTACAGTATTCATTTTGGCAGGTGCATACTGACTTCTCATCACACACTTTGCCTTCACAGAGTGAGACAAACAGTTTTTTCTCAATAATAAATCAGAGCCATTTTATCCTCCATGAAAGTAAAGTGCACTTTGATTGTGTTTAAACACACAGACAACACATTCTACATTAAAGAAACAAGTATCATCTTTAACTGAACTCACTCATACCAGATGAAGTGAATCAAAATGCACAGAGCTATAGGTGAACTCTGCTTCACCTCTTCTACTCAAGGCAAAAAGAAGCCTTTAGTGCCACCTGGTGGCAGAAATGATGATGTGCTCAAAGCTATGACATCAACCCTGCTGGACAGCAGTGATACTATTTTCAAGTAAAATCTCCATCATCTTCTGCATCAGATATGATAGATATGGCACTCTTCAGTCCTTAAGTCCAGTCTCCATAGATACTATAAGACATGGTTTAATTTCAATACATACTGTATTTAGTTTGGATGATGTGTTATACTGATTATTTAGAGATCATTAGATGCATTTATTGAGGGAGTTGATATTTTGATAATAACTGAGCTCTTATTAAAGGACTTGTATTGGTAGATATTCTCATTATTGGTTCAAAACTAATGATGGAATGAGCTAAAACACCTGCCCTAAATTCCTTACTTAAAGCTCTGGTATATTTCTCATCTTACATGGACTTACATCCTAATCACTTAAAATGAAAACCTTGTATTTGTTATTCTAAAGGTTTTTTTTCACTTTTACACAAGCTGAGTGAGTTCACATCCCAACCCTCTTAAAATAAAAAAATAAAGCCACAATGCATCATAATCAAGCTAAAATACAATTCTTTTTTTCTCGCTCTCTCTCAGGAACTCTTTGTTTGCTTTGTAGCAGCTGTTAGTGGGCTAACAGAGGAGCCTGGAAAGAGACGCTCTGGCTGTTCCAGGTAGGATCTGCTGTGGACACCTGTGGGCGAACTGGGAAGCTTCCCGCAGTGAATAGTATGACTGTATGAACGTGAAAAGAGACTGGTGTTATGGAAATAAATACTGGATAAAAAAAAGCTTAAAAACAAATTGATTGATGACCGCTCATGGCAAACCAACAGCAACTGTAATGTGACATGTACCAACTTCATAAGTTCATAAATTAAAAGCAGAGTTGGGTCTGAGGTAGAGCGCGACAGGACTCCAGGTCTGACACTGAATAACGCTCAGGGAATAAAGTCTCCTGTGCTCTCAATAGGACGTGTACCGACTGCACCAGCAGCGATGCCTTTAGAGAAACTCAGCATTGACAGCACAGAAATGGCTTTGAATATGGGGGGTAGTGAGTTCAGCCCCCCCCCCNNCCCCGACCCGAAACTGATTCAAACAGCCTCAGAGATCTGTTTCTTGTCACCGACTGTCCTCAGAATGAGTCTCCCTTTCAGTCCTTTAATACCAACAAACAGTTCGCCCCACGACTCACAGGAAGAGGTTGATTTTGGCGGGGACAGCCTTGCAGCCGGTAGAGGAGAAGTACTGTCCCTGGACGGGAGTGTAGATCATGTCGCCCCCTACTGCCTCCACCACGTCACTGCGGGCGCAGCTGCCCCGCTGGCAGAGCTGAGAGCGGACACAGCGCTCCACGTGGCGTCGGCTCAGCGGCAGGAAGGGAACGAAGCGGGTGATGAGCTTCTGCTGGATGATGCTGGAGTGGAAGAAGCCGCCTGCAGAGAGAAACTCACTTGAGTTTGCTTCATCTGACAGTAATGTAACAGTAAATTAAAATATACTGGCAAATTAACTTGTTTGATCA